GAATGCCATGCAGTTTTGCTGTTTTTTTTTTTTTTTTTTTTAGGCAAACAAAGAAAGGAAAATCAGTACAAACACAAATGACATAACAATAAATGGAATAACAAGGCTCAAACCCCATGATTAAAGTTCTAGTTGTTTCAACTCTTCCTCGTCACAGTATGTGCCAATCAGAGCAGGGGCATGGTTTCACATCTTTACACTGGATGAGATCTTGATGAATTCAGTGATGCTCTTACACATTTGGCCAAGATGCATTTTAAAATATCTTTAATATTTTCTGACATTCTCACATTTGCATATTTTGTTTTATGCAGCTTTTTATAAAATGCTATAAAAAAGTGTTAGCTCAGGGAAACTATCTGCAGTGGGGTTTTTTTGTACTTGTAAAAAGTGGCCTTAACAATTTTGCACAACTGAACCCTACAATGCTGTAAAGCATTAAAGCACCAAACTTAATGACCATGCATACGGGTAAAGACATTTGTGGATTAATAGATTTTAAATGGGTTTGATGTGGCTCTGTTTATCAAATTGACTCTGACAATACAATGTTCATCTAGTGTATTCGTTATTATTGGACTACATTTATTTATTTATTATACTGAATAGCATTATTATTCATATTATTTTATTATCATCAGTCTGCTGCCCTTTTTAAAAGATTACTTTATATTTAAGATATGAGAAAATGCAAGCAAATAAGTATATAAATGTTTATTTCAAAACATGAGAATGATCATTTATGATAAAATTCAATAATATGCTGATACAGTTTTTATAAGGGGCAAATATTTCTTTAAATATGAAGTCCACCAGCTCTTCTTAAAATATATATTTTCCTCATAGACACCATGGCATGTGAACACAACCACGTCACACCACAGCGAAGTTTGAAACATTTAAATGTACATTGGCACCGTCATGAAAGTCTAAACTTTAGTTTCAGAGTCTGTACTTCAGATCTGTGGGCCAGTGAAATCCCCAACACCTGCTTGAGGTGAGCTGCGGGACTCACACAAGCCTGAGTATCTCAATCCAGTTAGGTGGCATTGCATTATGTAGTGCTGGAGTGATTTCATAAAGGCCTTATTTCCCCAGATCCTCTGAAGCTGCATGAGAACGGCAGCACAAAATGCAGCCTCCATCTGTCGCTGTTTCTCCATGAGTCAATTGCTTAAATTGAGTTATTTTACTGGACCAAAACCTCAAT